TGGCAGAAGTGGGTGAGTTCTCTTTTCACATGCCTACTCCCAGGCTAGTATGGAACATGGGGACCAGGCAGGGAGGAGGAACCCATTGCTAGTGATTCTGGCTAAACCTGCCTCCCTGTAGAGCCTGGCTGGAGGGATCGGGAGCATCTCTGGAGTCTCCTCCCTTCCCCTGCCTCTACCCCCAGGGAGAGACAGCAGCAGTAGTGGGTAGGGAGGCAGGGAGAGGGAAGGGGAGGGGAGGTGCTGCTGAGCACAGAGGTAAAGGGAGTGGGGAATTCTTTTCTTTTTGTTTTGGAGACTTAAAAGAAGATCCCAGGTGCTGCTGCTGTGGTGGTGTTGGCTGAAAGTGTGGATGCAGCTGTGACATAACATCCCCTCTGGATCTGACCCAGCTTGAAGTCAATCTGATAGGACCTGACTCCATGGGCAAATCCAAAACTTGCAGATACTCCTCTTCATTAGTTCTACGCCCCAAAATGGATGATGCTGAAACCCAGGGGGGATACAAAACCTTGACAAGGTGAGTGTTGGAGAGAACCCTGGAAGCACAGGCAGGGGAAGTTAGAGGTGGACTACCCTAGGATTGGTGGAATTTACCTGGGTTCTCCATCAGCTCCTGGTAGTTCTCACTATAGTTGCTTGCCAGGTTCTCTTGATTTGAGTTGACACTCACATCCTCACCATCCATGGAGGACCAGGCCATGAGAGTAGCCTCAGAGATGGCAAACTGCTCCATCACTCCTGTGCCAGAGAGACAAGGAGAATCAGTACAGATACAAAGGTTTATAGCTGAACCTCCCTACTTATCTGTTTCATTGACATGTTGTCCCCCTATTCCTTATTCCATAATATTCATTGCTCTAAAGTGCTGCTTCCAACATCATGGATATCCCCTCTCAAGGTCTATCATGCCACTTCTCCACCCCCAACCTGTGCAGATTCTCTAGAAGGTCTCCCACCCTGGTCCTTTCATGCACTGTCACTGTTTTAGATTCTCCTTCCCCCAGTGTGGGGAATATCTAGACTACCTGCAAGGAATCGGGCTTCTTTCTCGCCGTCGCTCAGGTCTGAGTAGGCATCAGCATCTTTGCGCACTGTCTCATGTGTATGCTGCTGTTGCTGGCTGTTCCCTTTGCCCCAGCCTTGCCATTCAATCATGTGAGCCACACGACCCTGCCCCATAGCTGTTGGCTTCGTGACGTGATCCTTCATGCTGCGAGATATCCCTAAGGGGCCAGACATTAGAAAACAAGGAGGGGCTATTACACAGTTCGAGGGATATTTCTTGTCTTTGAAGCAGGGCTTCCCGTATCATCCTGACTCCTTGCCTCAGATGTTTCACTTCTCTTTCTCTTACTGTGAGATGCCCCCAGAAAATCATATGTCCCATTAAGCAACTCTAAGATCTCTCCCAGTTCTCTGTATCCCTTTCTGAAATAGATTCCCCATCATTCACTGGATGGGGTACCACTGGGGAAACAGGGAGAGAAAGGAAAAAATCCAGAAGCAGAGGAACTTGGACAATAAATTCTTTTCCTTGCCTATGACCTGCCCAAAACAGAACAGAGTGTTAGGGGAAAGTACATGAAAGTGTCAAAATGTAAAACCTGATCACCTAGTAGCACAGAGAGAAGTGACAATTTTCACCCATCTGGCCACAGAAAGTGATTTATAGCTGTGAACAAACACAAGTGCATGGCAGCAGACAGCTTCAAAAATGGCCGATGGGGTGAACATCTGAAACCTCATTACATGACAGGGCCAGATGATGACATTTCAAAACAGAATGTCTTCTGTGACTTCAGTCTGCCTGCCTGCTACCCTTTTGCTGTTTTCAGGAAGGGAGGGGGAAACGGAGCAGAGGGAGTTCAGTCTGGGAGCTTTTCAGCCCCTCCTAGAGGTGGGAGGGGGAAGGGGTCCAGTGCACCAACCCCCCCTCCAGTGCCAGCTGGGGAGTTCCCTCTGCTCCCTTTCCCCCTTCCCATTTGGAAAGCTTTGCACCCTGGCAGGGGGGAGGGACAACTGCTAGGGGAAACTAGCTGTAGGCTGAGCACCAGCAACCAGATTTCCCTCCCCGCTAGAACCAACAGTGAACTTCTGTTTGGTCCAGGGGATCAGGTTGCTTCCTGCAAAGCATTCTCAGTTACAGCAAGGAGCTGCACTTCTGTCTGCACCCTATTGCTGAAAAGAAGGCTTATCCCAGGGCAGGCTTGAGGGGAAGCAATCAGAGAAGTCTGAGCTTGGGGACACAGTGAGAAGAAGCTGAAAAATATGGGAAAACCCTGATGCTGGAGCAGGTGTCAGCTGCTGGAGGGGCCTAAAGCTTTTAGTAGTAATGCAGAGAGGTCTAGATCTAGGCAATAAGGACAGAAGTGGGGAGATACCTGGGGTTGAGGAGGAACAGCAGCAGGGAAAACAGTGGATCTAATGGACAGGAGCAGTGGGAGAAGAGCCCAGGGTTTGAGGTTCTCACCAGAGAAAGATGATTTAGCCAAAGCCCCGATCCCATAAGCATTGGAGTTCCGCTTCAGCCTGGGGAGAATGGAGGTTGTGTCTTCCATGGAGAGCTGGAAAGAAAAACAGCATGAAGGAGTGGAAGAGGGTGGGAAAGAGGAAGGGAATGAAAAGGAGAGACAATGTGGGAAGAGGAGAACGGGGAGAAGAAAAACAAGAGAAAGAAATGAGAAGTCAGTTGAAAGATTTAGGAAGGGAGAAGTCAGATGGAAAGCAGAAGCAAATTATGAGAGAAGGAATAAAGAAGGTGCTGTGTCTTATTGTGTTTTCCTTGCACTGTCCCTTGAAGGCCAAAGCCCTCCTGTTCAGCACTGCAGGGTTCAGTTACTTTGTGGCAGTTTAGCAGCACTGGGATCTCCATTGTCTCTGCTACGAGACGCCAGAGGCTTTCTTGGTTCCCCTCCCTCCATGGGACTGGACTGGGTCAAGTCAGAGGCAGAGCAAGTATAAGTTGTCTACTGAGGCAATTGTTAGATCTACCCTGGATATGATGTAACCCAGGCGGTACTCCAAGAGGTACCCCCTCTCCAATTGAAGGGATCAAAGCAGGTGCACAAGTGCTGTGGGAAGTGTAGGGACTCTCCTCCCCTATAGAGCAGAGCCAGACCACCAATGGGGACTTAACCATGCACCTTTTAATACTGGGAACATAACAGGCATAAATCAGAGGGTATAGTGGACACTACAATGCCCCAAGAAGACATTCAACAAAGGTTAGACACTTACAATCATTGACAAAACCAGGGTTAACAAAATATAAAACACAAACAGCAGAACAAACAATACAGGTTGATGAAATATAAAAAGGCACAAAATGCAAAATAACAAGGACATATAGGGCCTTGGTACCTGGAGGGGGAGAAAGGGGGGAAAGCACAATGGCCCCTTTCCACTGCAAGATTTGCTTCTTACTATCTCACTCACCCCAGCTGGGACTCAAGCCCAGATTTCCCATGGGGTAGGTAGGAATGGTGCCACACAGCCACCACTGGTGGCACTGCTCCAGCCTACTAGGGGTCTTGACCTTCCCGGAGCCCGGCCTCATGTCGAGCTGCGTGGCCTCTGATTGGAGGAGCTGGAAGCAGAGCTGGGAATCCCTCAGGTCACTTCTCAGATCCTTCCTGGAGCAGGGGAATCTCTCCTGCTGGCTGCAGCTTCCTGTAGGGGATCCTGGAGCCCAGTGGGGGCCTCTCCTGCCAGCCGCACGCCACGCTGCTGAGGGTCCCACTGCTATCTGCAGGTCCTGCTCTTTCAGACTCTTCCAGGGCCTTGCTCCTGCCCTGCTGGCTCAGCTCTGTGAAGCCCCTTCCTTGTCATCTCTCACTGGTCTCCCCTGAGTCAGCTCACGCTGCCCCTTTTATCCCCCTCCAGGTGACGCAAGGAGCCAATCGGGACACAGGGGGGTGAGTCTCTGGGGCCTGACTGGTGCGGAAAGGGAATCCCAAGTCCTCCAATTATCTTTTACCTCTTTCAAAACCCCTGGGCCAGGTCACTGCCAGCCAGCCCATCACATGATCCCAGAGTTATACTAATAAATGACTGTTAGTTCAACACAGGAGTGTCCAGTGTTGTTGCTGAACTCACAACGTATCATCTGGTGATGAGGATGGGATCCTTTGCTGAAAAGACCCCCCTAGCTTGTGGGACGATATTCTGAGACCAGGCTGTGTTTTGTGATCAGAGGGAAGTTTTATTTTTTCTTCTTCTTTTCTCCCTATTACAGCTGATGTTAGTTAAAATGGCTACATTGGGGCATATAGAAGAATTTGATGTGAGCCAGCTGGCTCCTTGGGGCTCTCATGCGGAAAGGCTACCCTATTACCTGGAAGCAAACAAAGTGGAAAACCCAGAACAGAAGTGTGCGATCCTCTTGACAGTCTGTGGTGCCAAAGCATTTGCAATTATTCGTTCCCTCACAGCACATGCTTTACCAAACACTAAGTCTTCTGCTGAACTAATTGCTCTGTTAAAGGCACATTTTTTGCCCAAGGCCATCTGTTACCTTGCAGAGATTTCATTTTTTTTAAACGGGACCAAAAGGCCAATGAAGGCATAGCAGATTAGCTGGCTGAGCTCTGTCGCCTTGCCCAATTTCGTGAGTTTGGATGGCCTGCTTCGCGACCCTCTCATCTGTGGGGTTCAAGATGTAATGCAACATCGCCTGCTCTCTGAACCAAATTTGACCTTGGCTACTGCACAAGAAAAAGCCTTGGCAGCTGAAGCAGCATCCCATAATGTGAGAGAAATTCGCCAGGCATTCTCCAGCAACGTCCACTTACTCCAAAAAGATCAAGAATCAGATCACCAGCAAATTCAGCGGATTATACCCTCACCAACAGCACCACATAAGCCAATTAACTGACAGACATGTTTGAGTTGTGGCGGCCAACACAGACGAAGGGAGTGCAGGTTCAGGAACACAGAGTGTCATACCTGCAAAAAGAAGGGCCACATAGAGAGGGTTTGCTGCTCAAAGGCCAGTCCCAGGAAACAAAAAGACTGTGTGTGGCAAATGTATTCACTCCCAAGCCACTCACAGATTAGAGTCCTTCCCAGAACGTGAGGTACAAAAACTATATTGAATTCAAAATGCTGGTGTTGTTGAAACTCAAGGTTTTGAGATGATTGTAAGTGTAGTAATAAACGGAAAGAAGTGCAAAATGGAAGTGGACTTGGGTTCGGGAGTATCCCTCATAGATGAAAACACGTTCTTCCAGTTGTTTTGGCACCCTCTCCCCAAGTTATTGAAACCTGAGTGTCGCCTGTGTGACTACAATGGACAGATTGTGGAAACCGTGGGTATCTGCAGTGTAGATGTCCAGTAGGGCTGTGCAAAATTTTGCCGAGTGTTTCGTTCCGAAGCTGTTTCGACGCATTTTGAGCTCAAAACAGCGAAATCAAAACTAAACAAAAAGCATTGAAACAACTTCAAAACAAAATGAGGGTACTTGAAACGTTTCGAAAGTTTTGTAACATTTCGAGTTGTGAAGCAGCCCAGTGGTGGGAGGCAGGGGAGAACCAGGGCTGCACTCTGAGCAGCTCCACA